TGGCCACCAAACAACGTTCCTCTAAAAAACACGAATTAGCCATGTGTGTTTGTGTAAAAATAAAAATGGCAACAACATTTTAATGTTAAATATTATTTTTTCTTTGCTAAATATCAATTTTGAAATTAAAGGTAATGCAGTTTTTTTACTGTGATATTAAAAGAGAAAAGTCAAACCGGCTCCCCCACACCATTTCAAATTTTTTTTTTGGCTTCAAAGGGGTATTTTAGTCAATTCAATAAAAAATATAACTACCTGAATACACCCACTACCAATTCCAAATTTTATAGCCAGGAAGGGGAAAATAATAATATCAGAAAACCTCATTCCCTTTTAGTTTAATTTTTTTTTAAAAAAAATTTCTACCCAAATATTGATATTCTTGCACTGAAAGCTAGCTCGCATCCCCTTAGTTGACGTGTCACAACCTCACCTTGATGAACATGCACCGTCCAATCATTCTTCATGAAAAACCACCTCCATCCTATTTCCACCTCACTTTTCTTGCCTGGGCGAGAAATTCTCCATCTCATTATAGCGTGTCTCATAATATATAATAATTTTTTTAGTTTTAAAAAATTATTTTTAATATTATTGTATTAAAATAATTTAAAAATATAAAAAAATTAATATTAAACATTTTTTTTTATAGAAAAACACCGCTACCAGACTCTTCTCTAAACTGACAGCTATTTCTCACATGGCAGCTGATGATAAAACTTTCAAGTAACCACCATGGAATTGGCGGGGCTTCTTTGAAAGGAAGGTGGAGCCCATAATCCGAAAACAAATTAATTGCACACATGGGGGTACACGTAGAGAGAAGGAATTATAACTATAATTCAATACAAAATACTTGAAGCATGCTTATCGACAAGAATGCTTCAAATAACAAAATATGTTTTTTTAAAAAAATTTAAAATTTATTTTTTTGTGTAAAGTATAGTTTTATTTTTTTAATTAATATAGATATATGATTTAATTTATATATATTTTAATTAATTTTATATATTTTAAAATTAATAATTATATAAATTTTCAATAATTCTAATATTTATAAAATTTTAATTGGTAATCTAGATATAAAATATGTTTGGAAGTATGATTATAATTATTTTTTAAAATATTTTTTATGTTAAAATATATTAAAATAATATTTTATTTTTTTAAAAAATATTTTTAAGATAAATCCATTAAAATAATTTAAAATATATAAAAAAATTTAAATTTTTATAAAACATAATTTATACAGCATGCACACACAGTGCCACAGTCTTATTATACGCTGGAGAGGCGGCGCGGGTGTGGTGCGTACGCGTCATTCATGTGAATTAGTGTTATTTTTGTTAAGTAGAAGGTGGGCAACACAGCTTGTACTGGGTTCCAGTGTATCATCACTCTGAGAAAGCATGAGCCTGTAATTAATCGACATTCCTATCGAATTATTTTTTTTTTATTACATGAAGGTTTGCGACCTCCTCCACGCCTTGTGGATGTTAAAATTTATTAAATAAAATAAATCCATCACGTCACTTCACATATAAATTAGATCAACAACCACAAAACACAAAGGTAAAATACAATAATTCTTACTTGATGATATATACATTTTATATAATTTTATTCTTGGATGGTAACAAAAAATCTACTGTTGTCCGGTTCAAATCGAGATTATACTTTACAATTTAAAAAAAAAATTATATCTCGAAATTTATATATGTTCTAACACTTAATATCCTAATAAAAAAATCAATGTAAAATTTCTGATTATTTATAGAATTGCCATTGTAATCTATTTAGTTGGTTAGTGTTAATATATTAAGCTAGTGATAAAATATAAATTTTTTAGTTTACCTTTGTACTCTAGATTTGAAAGGAAAATCAAATCTTAAAATGAGAATGAAAATATTAAAATAAAGTAAGAAATAATATATAAAATATATTAAAAATGCCACTCTTTATTTACCTTTTTTTATTTGATAAGTTCTAGAAACTAAAAAAAATAAATTAATTCTGGTATCTTTATCAATTTTGATTAGTCACCGTGAATCTAGAATTAAATTGAATATTCTAGTTATAAATTTAAAGTTTTTATAGCTGCAAAAACTATTTATGTTTATAGAAAATACTTATGAAAGAGATTGTCTTGCATTTGTAGACTCGACCAGGTAAAAACATGATTGATATATATAGTTTTACACCGGCCACAATTTTTTAATTCCAAACCCAAACCTAAAATTATTATAGGGCGGCTAAAAAATAATTTTTTGTTACTTTATAATAAACTCAATCTTAACCCACATATATATTAATTTAAACATAAAACTCACTTTACTTAAGTATCTTCAAGCCCAACTTTAATTTCACACTTTATAAATATTAAAAGGTTTTTTTTTCTGGGATAAGTTTTTTAAAGAGTTTTGAGTTTAATATCAAAATATATTAACTAATTATTATTTAAAATCAATTTTATATTTACTTATAATTTTTTAATATATATAAATATTTTATATCAAAAAGCCTGTATCAAGAAAGATTAAATTCTAACAAGATATTAACCTCAAAATAAATAGACCCATTTTTAATTTAGTTTTCATCATTAACCATAGCGTATAACATTTTTTTCATTAGATGACACATCCATTTACAAATGTCAAAGTCTCAATCCTGTATAATAAAGTTCTAAATCCACCCAGCCGACATTTCCCATTACTGAATGACAAGTTCACAACCCCCTTCACTGAAATTCACATTCAATTTCAACTGAATCATCCAGACAACGATGAAGTGGTAAAAATTTAAAATTAAAAAGTTTGTTTTTTTTATAATTTTAAGTTTGTGTTTTTAATTTTTCAGATGATAATTACAATAAATTTATATAATAATTAATTTTAAAATTTATAAAATTAATTATAATACACACAAACTAATCTAAACACTCGTATTAATCTAAAAAAAATTTACATTCAACTGCAATCAGATCTATCGCACCAATTGAGCGAAAAAAACAAACTCTCTCTCTCTCTCTCTCTCTCTCTCTCTCTCTCTCTCTCTCTCTCTCTCTCTCTCTCTCTCTCTCTCTCTATATATATATATATATATATATATTGCGCACACAACCCCCAACATGGCACCAAACTTAATAACCAGATTGGACTTTCCAAGATATTTATTGCTCTGGGGGCCTGTTTACTTTTACATTTAAAAAAATCTTTTAAAAAACTTTATTTTTTAAATTAATATTTTTTTAATATTTTTAAATTATTTTGATATATTAATATTAAAAATAATTTTTTTAAAATAAAAAATATTATTTTAATATTTCTTCTTATAAAAAATACTTTCAAAAAAATTAATATCATAATAAATTATTTATGAAACATAATTTAAAAAAAATTGTTTAATAGCGTTTTTCAGAAACATTATTAAACAAAAGTGTTTAATAGCTTTTCAGTATACTATATATATTTTAATAAATTATTTTTATATTAGAATATTAAAATAATTTAAAAATATAAAAAATAATTTAAAAAACTAAAAAAATAAACAAACTTTAATTTTTTTAAATATTTTTGAAACATCGAAAACTAACAGTATTTCAATAAACTTATTCTCGCATCCACGGTTTAGAAAAAAAATGAGAGAAAAAAAATGCAAGAAATTAAACTCACTACTGTACAACAAAGAGTCAAAGACTTGGCAAGGACTACAGTAGTCATGATGAAGATTGATTGGTTCTGGAGGCATCCTCCCGTGGAAAACCTAAACCAATGAAAATTTAAACGAAGCCTTGCTCTCCTTTTAGACGCAAAGACTTGGAACTCCACCATTCTCTTCGCCTTTTCTTACCATATCAACAGGTCAGCTAAAAATTAATTCTTTAGTTTAACTATTTAAATTTTAAATTTCTTTTTAAAAATTATTAGTAGTTAGAATTTTATAAACCTATAAATTATTAAAAATTTATATAATTATTAATTTTAAAACTCTTCAAATTAATCCAGATACAAATAAGTTTACCTGAATTTTTACATTCATATAAAAAACACGAGGAAGATAGATAAAATACAGCCTGATTAATTTTTATCTGATATTACGACAGTAATTATTAAGATTTTGGTTTTGATTTGGGTAAGATAAGAAGAAGAAATTTTCCAGGAGAGAATAATGTTCAAAAGAGAGAAATTGTGCTTGGAGGGAGATTTTTTTATTTTGTTGGATTTTTTATATTCAAAATATATGAAGGTTGATTCATCAAATCTAAAAGTTTTTGTTGACCCATAATCTAAAATATAATTTTTCACTTGTAATTTACACCCAAACTACATTTTTTTTTTAACTATCCTTTTATTTATTTATTCAAGTAAGATGAACGTCGGATAAGCATGCAATTAAGACTCAATGACTACTTATTAATCGAGACTCACTACTTAGACACGTGGCTAATAAAAATGAAGGATGGTGGATTCTTGCATATCTTGATTCATAGAGTTAGGATATTCTCAGTATATCTCACTAGTTCTTATTTTTATTATTTTTTCTGATATTATTTAATAATATAATTAAAAAAAATTAGAATGAAGTTTGGTTGGATAGCTCAACCGACCTCAAGTTGGGTTTAGTTGGGCTATAACCTAATTGAGATATTTTAGTTCGGTTAAATTATAATGTAATCGAGATAATTTTTATTTTTATTTTTTTATAATTATAAGATTATAATGTAATCAAGATAATTTTTATTTTTATTTTTATTTTTATTTTTTTATAATTATATAAAGTATAAACTGTAAATTTAGATATAGATATTTAGTAGAGATTACCAAAAAAAAATAATCATTTTTCATGATAAGTTATACAAGATAATTTTTTAAATATTTTACAGATATTTTACAAATGTTTTTGAATATTATATATATTGATTTTATCAACGTCTAGAAAAAACAGGGAAAAAAAGAGAGAGGAATTATTCGGCTTCACGCAGTTAATTTAATGCAAATTACTTATTACTAACATGGCAATAGCGGATTGGTGTATCTCTATACCTAGCATATCGCTATTGAAACTTTGAAAACAACAACTGCTCTAACTGTTTGCTGGCATCTTACTCTTGAGAAAAAGTCACCGTTTATAACTGTCAAAGATCTACAACACCGTCTGTCATTACAACCTCTGTCTTCGCCATTGATTCAGGTACCCCTCATGTCTTTCAAAGCTTTCTGACTCATCTCTGCTTCGATATAGCACGTAGGACTCGTGTTTATTTCTGCAACCTTTTTATTTTATTTTCTTAAAGATTGCTTGCAAAAACCTTTGTAGATTGTGGATTTTTTTTCCCCATGGCTTTCTCATCGTTACAAGTTAAGAGTGAAAGCTTGTAATTGATTTTATATTGAAGTAACAATTGCAGAGTTTTCTTGATTTGATTCATGAATCAAAATTTGTAAACCATAGTGGTTAGTGCAGTGCAATATAGTTATGATGGGTAGATCTGAAATGCAAGGAAGTCGCTTCCTAGATTAAAAAAGAGAATAAAGAAGCCAAACTAATTAAGGGTCAAACAGTTCATTTTTTTTTTAATGATGATTTGAACTTCCTAATTTGGGTTAGTTTAGTCTTACTATTAGTCTATATGTTTTCTTTGCTTTAGTTGTATTCTTACTGGATTTATTAGGTTGTGTTTCCCAGGGATTGCTCTTGCAAAGAATATGCTGCTGGCTTCTAGATCATTGCGGTTGCAATTGTTTCGATTTGTAATTATATTAGTTTTAGTCTTAAGCTATGTGGAAAATGGGAATGCGGGTTTAACGAGCACTTTTATTCGTACGCAATGGCCAGCGGCAGATATCCCTCTTGACAATGAAGTTTTTGCAATTCCAAAAGGTTATAATGCTCCACAGCAAGTGAGTCTTGCACATTTTACTGAATTTTAGTTGAAACCCCCTTTTTTTTTTTTGTTGAAGTTAATTATGACTTGATTAGTTTGTTGATTGTTAGGTCCACATCACTCAAGGTGATTATGATGGGAAGGCTGTAATTATCTCTTGGGTTACGCCTGATGAACCGGGTTCTAATACCGTGAAATATGGCACTTCAGAGAATAGTTATGATTTTAGTGCTGAGGGCACTGTTACTAACTACACCTTTTACAAATATAAGTCTGGCTACATTCATCACTGTCTTGTTGATGGGCTTGAGGTAAAATATTCAATTGAACTATGATTTTATTTCGCTTTTTGAATGGTCTCAGTTTCGGGGTTTAACATTTTTGTCTTTTTAGTATGATTCCAAGTATTACTACAAGATCGGAGAAGGTGATTCCTCTCGTGTGTTTTGGTTTCAAACACCTCCAGAGATTGATCCAGATGCTTCCTACACATTTGGAATTATTGGTAAGATATTTTGCTGCTTTTTAAGAATAACTAAGTTGAATTTTGTTTCGGAATACCTATTGGATTTTGCTTTAGCAAGATATTTTTCAACCAACAGTCCATTGTTTCAATATCAGGTAATACAATACTGACAATGGAATGCGGTGTTTGGAAGAACATGTTTCTTAGTTTTGGACCACATGTTTTTATATTTTTCTCACTATGTATTGGTTTTTGTATATTTTTAGGTGATTTGGGTCAAACATATAATTCTCTTTCCACTCTCGAGCATTACATGAAGAGTGGGGGACAGAGTGTTTTGTTTGCTGGTGATCTCTCTTATGCTGATAGATATCAATATGATAATGTTGGTATTAGATGGGATTCATGGGGCCGTTTTGTCGAGCAAAGTGCTGCATATCAACCATGGATTTGGTCAGCTGGGAACCATGAGATAGAGTACATGCCAGAAATGGTAACCTTAAACTTCTTCACCTTATGTTTTCTTTTCTAGTTTTTATGCTCTTGCCATTGATCTATTGTTTCTAGTTTTATTAATGCTCTAGTTTCAACACATGTCTAATCTTTGGCATTATTCTCTTTGCTTCAATGCTTGTCAACTCACACACAAATCCTCTTGTTCCAGGAGGAAGTCCTTCCATTTAAATCATTTCTGCATAGATTTGCCACCCCTCATACAGCCTCAAAAAGCACCAATCCTCTTTGGTATGCTATACGCCGTGCATCTGCTCACATCATTGTCCTCTCCAGCTATTCTCCATTTGGTAATCCTTGATTCACTATGTTTTGGCAGGAAGTAGCTAGTCTATTCCAAAACTTAGATGATACTATCTGCTTAAAATTTGTTGGTTTCTTACCAAAAAAGTAGATGCGATGGCAACTGTTATTGACAATTTAATGATTTCCATTCTTAGTTCATATTTCAAAAGACTATTTGATGTTACTATAAGTTGAATGTTTTCTGGTCATAACGAATTTGTAAATATTTTTTAATCAGTAAAATATACTCCTCAATGGATGTGGCTTAGAGAGGAATTGAAAAGAGTCAACAGGGAGAAGACACCTTGGCTCATTGTTGTCATGCACGTGCCCATCTACAACAGCAATGCAGCCCACTATATGGAAGGTGAAAGCATGCGTGCAGTCTTTGAAAGCTGGTTTGTTAGATCCAAAGTCGACTTCATTTTTGCTGGTCATGTTCATGCATATGAAAGATCAGTATGTACTTTCCTCTTTTTTATGCCTTATAGACCTATCAATACATCATCATATACAATTTGTATATTTGTAGCTTCCTCTTCCACTAAATGGAATTCCCATAAGATTGTTCTCCTGAAACTTCACTGAATCCCGAAGAACATTCATTTACAAAGTTTTCATTGGAAAAGAGGAGCTGCTACTTTTTTAAGTAGGTCCTTGGTGATTGCAAACTGGCATGCAGCTCCTATAGCTGAGACCCAACCCAGCCACATGGTTAAAGAAACAATTTTAGGCCCCCCTGATATTCATATTCTAAGAAGTCATGTTCGTGATGCATGATTCTCCTGAAAGTGCCTTGGAGTTGCAACCCCTCATATTCTGATCCTAATGGTGCTGTATATATCGTTTTATGCACCAGTTTTGAATTTATCAAGTGTTCCTTTTCTTATTGAGAGTATTCTTGATTTACAGTATCGTATCTCAAACATACATTATAACATGACAACTGGTGACCGTTATCCTGTTCCTGACAAATCAGCGCCCGTGTACCTAACTGTTGGGGATGGGGGAAATCAGGAAGGTCTTGTTGGAAGGTGAGGCAAATCTAATTGTTTAAGCTTAGGAAAATCTAACTAATTCAAATATAGGTTACCTATTAACTGTTGAAATTTATAATTAGGTTCTTTGACCCACAACCAGATTATTCCGCATTCAGAGAAGCTAGTTATGGCCATTCTACCTTGGAGATTAGGAACAGAACACATGCATTCTACCAATGGAACCGAAATGATGACGGAAAGCCAGAAACAACTGATTCTGTGATATTCCATAACCAATACTGGTAAGTGTGATCTCTTTGCCTTCCTTTTGTTCAAGAATGCTAGATGCTAGTGTTTAGTCATGGTGGTATTTCTCAAGCATCAGATAAATATTATAGTTGAGTTGGGAAGTTGGCATTGCCTATTCGCATTTTTTGAGGGAGGTAAAGTTTCTAATGAAGATAGAGGAAGTTTTTTCTAAAATATCAAATATCAGATGAGCAACAAAACTGATGCAAAAGTCTTGTATAATGCAAGTGATTGATTCATTCATAAGTGCAATATACGGCTCCAGTATGCTTTGTGTTTTTTATTTGTTTTCTAAGTTGAAAAAAAACACACCCTAAAAACCAATTAAACAACGTACATGCAAGTTTGTAACTCTATTTGTAAACATGATGCCAGTAGAATAACTTAATGATCCGCCTTTGAGTAACAGAATATCAATAGCATATGCTTCAAAGCGATGGCTGCACATCATTGGCTATCCAATGTCCATAACTTCTTTCATGAAACATGATTCGATTTAGAGCTCTTAATGAATTGTCATGCAGGGCAAGCAATCTGCATAGAAGGAGACATCTCAAGGCTAGGGAACTGGCTAGTTACTGAAGATTTTGGATAGAAAGGTTTCATAAATTTATGCACTTTCTGCATGCTGCGGCAGAGCAGTAATATTTTGCAGTTTGCACCGCAATAATATCAAGGTCGGGGGTGCTAGCAACCTGTGCTGTTCACAGAAATATTTGGGATCACTACGTCCTCCATTTATAGTAAACGGCCATTTGTTGAATTTGCCAGCATTTCATATTAAGGAATTAGTTTGTCAAGTTTCATTTCCTGAAATATTCCTTGGTTTCTTAGCTCAATAATGACACATTGTTGGTCACTATCGTTCTCGACTCCATTGTAAATCATCATATAATAAAGTGCTATTTTCATTGCTCAGTTTCATTTCTTTTCTTATCAAAAGAACTTTATCAGCAGATGAATCCAAAGAAGAGCATCAGATCCTGCAAAACTTGAGGTAATATTCTGAAGACCTTACATCAACATTATACAAAGATTGTATTTGAATTGAGCTTGAAATGGGCATTTGAGGTTTAGATGGAGAATCTTTCCATTGTTTTGAATTTAGAAATTAATCAATAGATGAGAGAGCTATGAATTTTTGAAGGAGTTACTCCACAAATGAAGTTAGTCCACAAATGAACATCCTTTTGTTTTCTCGGAATGTCCACTAACAATATCTTTAATGCAAAAACTCAATCAAATCTATATATTATCACGCACCCAGTTTTCACACTGCTAGCAATTGATGTCGAATTTTATCCTCTCATTCCTTGAATGCTTTTTATAACGTTGACAATATTACAGGGCTTGGAACTCATCCCAGTTGCCGGGATATTACTTATGGGAAATAAAGAAAAAAAAATAGAACACAATTGAGTAAAAGGATAAGAAAGGGAGATACATTGAAAAGAATGACAAGGACTAAAATCAAGCATTTTGTTGATTCATAAGAAAATAAAATTTAAAACATTAGAGATTTATATCACATATTAAAATAAAAAAGTGGCTTTTTGAATGCCAAATACCATTTAAGCTATTAATACTAAAATTTAAATTTTATGCTCACAATTAAAAAAAAAATTCTCTTCTAGAAAAGCTTTGCATTAACAATGTTTGCATATTTTTTTATATTATTTTTTTTATTTGTCTCGCGCATTAGAACGCAAGCCAACTAGCCATTTCAAGGTAAAATTTAACCAAAATCCCTTTTAAACCAAGCTCAGGGAAATAATTATAACTCCTACAACGTGAAACACGTACAATTTTTCTCTCACTTTATTCTCTCTCCCGTGTCTCATTCACTTTAAACTTTCGATTTACATTTGTTTTAGCAATTTTACAAGTCAACAGAAATGGTAAGAGAGTTAAATGCTTCACAATTAAGGTGCAATTTTAAAATTTTCCATATTTAGTGATTACCACACTCATTTAGCAAAAATATTTAACGGGCAAGTGTCAAATACTTCACAATATTAGGGACTATTTCGTTAGCTAGCAAATACTTTTAGAATTGCCCCAGCCTGTGGCTTCGCTACTGAGCACAGAATTGTGTCTAGTGTGTTTGATGTAATTTTCATATTTCATCTCAAGTTATGTCACTATTGTTATTAAATCTGAACTAGCTAAGGATTTAGTTAGCTTGTCTTTTGCGGGTTGGGTGTAAAAAAAGTTTAACTCAGAGTAAATTTGATTTGACTCGGTCAATCCTGATTAAAATTCAATTTAATTCTACGTAATTTTTTTATTAACTTGGATTAATCTGTTTACTGAATTTACTTGGAATTTCTGTCCACATGTCTCATATATTGTTGCGAAGGTATTGGTGTTCATTCTCGTGTCTACTTGAAACCAAGGCTTCTATTTTCGTTCTTTTGCCCTATAATCATGAAAATACTGCATGATATTAAGGATGTAATAACATGTTATTATCCCTTTCTCAGACTAATTAATCTGTATTGAATATTGACAGAGCATTGATGAATTGAAGCAGAAGCTTGTGCATGCCACCATTGAATTAGAGTCACTGAAAGTTGAAGCAAAAGAAGAAATGAGAAAGCACGAGGAGGATGTGGAGCATTTAACCAATATGCTAAAGGTTGCTTCCCAAGAAAGAGATGAGGCCGAAGTCAACTGCAAAAACTACTCAACAATCTTGTACTTTCTGAACTTATGGCTGCATCCCTGCCTATTCATCCTCAAGAACAATCCGAAAACCCCCTTGTAGTTTCTGTGATAGGAAACTCGAGCATAACTGATTCTTACAGTTTCTCTGAAACATACGATCACCAATCACATGGCTCCTCTCCTGTGGATTCCTTCTTTGATACAATTACCTCACCAGATTTCTCTAACAATAACTTTTCAGGCTCAAGTCATATAGGGCTTGTGAGCAACACCTTTGTTCAAGAGTATAAAGGCTCTATATCAGCAGGTTTAGTGCCTCCAGCAATGGCCAAGATCCATCCGGCTGATGCTGTAATTGAAGATTTTGTAGAAGGAAAAGTCCTGCCTCAAAAGGGAAAGCTGTTGCAGGCTCTAATGGAAGCACGCCCTCTCCTTCAAACGCTACTTCTTGCAGGTCTGCTTCCACGGTGGAGAAATTCGCCTCCATTGCAACCGTTCAATATTGTACCTGTTTCCATGAGTATTCAGAATACATTTGCAAATGCAAGCTCTCTTGCTCAAAAACCATTGGCTTCACCATCTTACATTGAGTTGCGTCGCGGATGTTCTCAAAAGTGTTCTTCCATGTTAAATCTTGCTAGTTGTGCTTCTAGTTCAGGTCTAGACAAGGGATACCAGTTAAATTCTGGTGCTATCCATCAAATTCCAGCTGGAAAACGGCAGAGATTTCAGTGAGATCAAATTTTAATGGTTCAAGGAGTATATTAGATTTATTTATTTATAAACGTATGAATGACATAACTAGTACCCTTGGTTTAATACCTTGGTTCAATTCTTTTCTTGTCCATAAAATATTATGCTTATGCTTCCTTCTTCTCAAATCAGATTGTGTTTTGAATTTTGAGTCCCTCTAGCACTTGACAAAATCGGAAAAGCTTATTTTTTTTTAGATATAGAGTTGCTCTCATCAGATATCACCCTTATAGAAGAGGATATCAAAACAATTTCATTTGAAACAGTCTTTAGCATCCATAAAATAATTAACCTGTAATATTGAATATTGACAGAGCGTGATGAATTGAAGCAGAAGCCTGTACACTTCACTATTGAATCAGAGTCGATTAAAGTTGAAGCAAAAGAAGAAATGAGAAAGAACAAGGAGGATGTGGAGCATTTAATCCATCTCTTAAAGATTGTTACCAAGAAAGACCAAAACTTATCTGCAAATATCATCAACCTGCATTGCATATATACACATACATGTATTCTGAATTTAAACATATCACAGAATGTAATCCAATAAAGGGAAGAAAAAGGGTAAAAATGGTTAGACATGAAGAAAAGAATAGCTGGACTTTCCTCTTCTCTCCTTCACATTAATCTTTAATATCCTTTACAACAAGCATCGAGGAAAATCGTAGCATTGGCTTCTAGCACTTGCGTGCAAAGAGAAAAACAGGCAAGAATATCTGCATGGAAAAGCTTGAAAAGATACCCTTCTAGTTATAGATCAAGAATCACGAAACTTTAGCTGCGGTGTCCACTGGAGATGCAGAAGCAGGTTTCCTGATTTAGCACCGTCTAGTGGAAAGCTGTCTTGAAATTCTCCTTCTAACAGAACCCTGGTGAGTGTCATTATGCATCTTCCCATTTTATCCTGAAAGATTCATACAGTTCGTCGAAATTAGAATGATATTGAAAGACTATTAACAATCTTGCAAGAATAATGCGGATTCCTTGCAAAACTTTGAAAAAAAAGGTGCGTGCCAGCACACAAAACAATGCCTAAATACCTACATAAACAAAAGCTCAGCAAGACAATTATATGACACTGAGCAATATAATGCACTTGGTGTGGAAAAATTACCTTGCCAAAAGTGTCATGGTCCCAGACTTCTGCAATTAACATATCGTGTAATGCATCCTCCACAACAAATTCAAATGTTTGATTCCAAACTGGATTTAGGTTCTTCGTTAGGACCTGTGAAAGCATAAGAGGTTGAGGTTATGGAACATATAAGCATGGTCTTGCCTAAAAAATATAACTTTAGAAGACTCTCCTTTGTTATATTCAACAGAGATCTAGTTAGCCAAAATTGCACTTTCGATGTACCAGATTCTTTGAACAAGTGATAAAATGAGTGAACGATAAGAAACAAACGAAAAAATTAAAAAGGAACATGGTAGTGATCATGTTAATCAGAAACTTCGAACTCACTCTAGTCTTGGCTTTTGTCTCAGATTTCTTCATTATAAGGACAACATAGGGGTCGGCCTTTCCATTCAAGTCAGTTGGCGGCAAGTTTTCTGCAGCTATAACAGTAACTGATAGTACTCCTCTCACGATGACATTTTTCTTTGGAGATGTTCTTCCAGAATTTGGATCACCTGTTCCATCAGTGCCACTCCTAATGGCCTTTTCTAAAATGGTCAAATGAAAATCAGGGTTAAAAGGATTTTTGAAACTGCTCTCTGTGCCATACGGACAGTACAAAAGCTCCAAGTGCACCTGATGAAAAAAAGATGGCACTCATTAACAACTGCAAGTTCATACATTGCTTTTGAACCGAGAAAAATCTGTAACAAAAGCAGGAAAAAAACTGACTCTGAGAAATATCATCATATTAGGTTTTCAACTAAAGTGAAAAAACTCGTTTCTAATCCCCTTCTGATTTCGTAAGAAATTACACAATAGTTTAGTCGTAGATGATCTCCTACGCACTCGATATCGATATATCATTCTAACATACTTGAAACCAGTGACGAGGATGGGAGATTTCAATTGGCATACCAGATTCTTACCTGACCCCTGTATTTGTTATCTCTCTGGATCTCTAGATCTTTGACTAGTTTCAACCATACATCCTTCACTTTACCAGGCTCAAGATCCTTTAGTGCCACTAGAGCACAACCAATGAGTTCAGCAGCCTGAACTCCTTCATCATCGAAGACTCTTACAGTCAAGTGTTGAGTTGATGCATCTTCAACTACGAACTCAAAGTGTTCATTCCATATGGGATTCAATTGGTTGCTCTGAAATTATCGTAAGAGTTATGACTGATCTAAACAAAGAAAACCTAAGTGGTGAAATATGGGAAGCTGTCTTACAATTGTTTTGCTGGTTTTCATTCTGCTACGTAGTGGACGTATAAATAAGACAGCAAAAGGATCAGATTTTCCGACAATGTCTTTATTTGTCAAGTCCTTGCCCTGCACAAGCTTCACATCTAATGTTCCAACGGGCTTCAACT